TAAAAATACTCAGTGATACTACACAACAAAACGACTAATAAGTTTTTTATCATCCAACACGCCAATTTGTTATTTCAGTGCGGGCGACTTTCACGGAAATTTATTTTCGAGGAGCGCGTGACAGAAGTATACGAAGCGGGAAGGAATTGGCGCGTTGTCATGTTGCTGTTTCTTTAATAAATGAAGAAATTTCTTGTTTGTTTAACTGTTTTTCTTCGTTCAATTCATGTAATAAACTTGAATCTATATTTGCCAGCCATTCCGACTCCTCGTTGTCGGAAATATGATTCAAATTGTCCACCATTTCGTTTTTCGTAACTTCAATCTAATTCCTTGCTTGCGCGATGCGAGAAAACCTGTCTAACCGGTTCTCTGGAGTACAAATGCCGCGTGATATTTGTACGCATCTTGGGCGTTATTTGTACTCTACGGAGTGTAGTTGGATAATAAAAAGAACTACTTAGCGTTGTAAAGTTTCACTTATTAACAACCACACCAACAACAGCAAATTCTAAACATAGCAGATGCTACTAATACTCGGCTTAAATTCGACCGTGTGCCATGCCAGTGATTGTCCGGGTGATGGTCACGTGGTATTCATGTAACGTTGTCAATGACCAACGACACAGCGGTCAACCACCTGTGTATGTGTGAACGTTGTATAAGCTAGGTGGCCTGCTTTCAGGCCGTCAGAACCAAGTTGTCTTGCAAGAGATATCGTCAAACAATCACAATAGCGAGCATGTCGAGGTGCTTGAATATCATATAACTTTTTTCGTTAAAGCTTAATGAAAACAAAATGGTGAATCAGAGGAAACTTGTTATTAAAAGAGCTTTGTATACGGAAAGTCTTCAATTTTCCTGTTTCCTCTTGTTTTTGCCTTTCCTAAATTTCAGTTTTATTTTACAATTTTGCGAGATAATGTTTGTTTCCTACGTTTTCTTTTGTAGTAGTGCGCGGGAACTTGCGCACGACCTACCAAAATTGATCTCCTAGCGCATACCCCACGCTTGACCACTGTGTCATGATAGATTAACTTAGAACCAAAGTCCTCAGCAAACATGTTCCCGATTATCAACACTCTTAAAAGTACTTATTTACGACATTAACAAACGCAAAGAACACCGCCGAAAAGGATGAAATAATAATTATAATGATAAAAATAATCAGTGGCAACAGACGAACGCTACTTAGATCTGACAGCTAGCGAAGAACATCGCGACAAAACTGACCAATCAGTTTTTACGAACAAAACTTACCAATCAGTTTTTACGAACAAAACTGACCAATCAGTTTTTACGAACAAAACTGACCAATCAGTTTTTACGAGCAAAACTTGTAAAGACGTAGTTCAATCGACGAAAAAAGTTTTTCGCTTTTCTTTCGAGTATATTTTTTCAGTATCTGTCAGCATTCCTTTCCAGAATCACCCTCACTCAAGGGATCCCTTTATTACGCGATCAGGTTTTACCTCTAGGTTCAAACAAACTGTAAAGTGTACTACCTTGAATTGTAGGCTCCTTCAGGCTCAACTCTTTTTCCTCGCCTCTTCCTGTTTTGTAAGTGAATCAGATCAGAAGGATGTAAACTTGAGTAAAAAAAATCATTTTGAACCTTTTTAACGCTAAAAGTAAGTTAACTACTGATTTGAAAGTAACTTCAGTGTATAAGTAGAAAAAGTGATTATTTTCCTATTTGGCTTGTAAAGAGGTGTTACAAAACCCGCAAACAACGCAAAAAAAAAGAAATTAATCCTAAGAAGAGCAAGACACACCACTCGCTACTGCAATAACATCACACTTGACTAACCGCCAAAACCGCTCACCCAGAACAAACCAAGACCCTAATCAACATTTTCAGTCCTTGTCAACTATTCTCGCAACAGGGCAAAGTCAAATAACCTAACTTCGCAGAACTCGCTTTTTTCCAATACAGTCTGGTAGGATCGGTGGAGTGCCTTGGCTTGAAATGAAAAGTATGAAAATTATTGTTATCTGAATGATGATCATAATCATCATTATAGTTATTTCATTATCGTAACTTTCGTCCGGGCGTTCGGCCGAGGAACCATCCAACGTTTTTTATCTCGCTTCAGATGCAGCTTTTTTGCACCTAAAAAAAATCGGGAGGTGGAGGCCTAAGGAAATATTTTTATTAACAATCCTATTGAGAACTAAAGATTGAGCATGCACTGCTACTTGAACCCGCTGTATGACACTTGCAATCCAATTATCTGATTATTTATTCATTTATCTAACTCATGTGGGCTCGACCTTTCCTAGAGTTTCCTTTGCAAACTTCCAAGGAATTTCTGTTGACAATAATTCTAAATAAGGACTGAATTTTTCAGATTTGAAGTCACTGAGCTATCCATAATTAACTTTCTATGTTGAATCTTCCTAAACAGAACCGTGCTCCAAAGGCGACTAACGGTGAATACAAATGAATCTAGTACAAAAGTGCGTCTTAGGAATTAAAACTAACGACCAAATTAAAGATGTGAGCCATACTAACTCGCAGACTTGTAAGAGATATATCAGCAACAATCACGGCTGAATTAAATGTCACACAAATTTCCATCTAAATAGGAGAGCTATTCTTCGACCATTTAGTTGAAAGACAACTCTCAGATAAGTTTTTACGGTATTATAATGCTGTTACAAGAAACCTGTTACAGCGAAGGAACATGTCTCACATTGGGTTGCAGGAATCTGTCTACCCATCATTTACCCTGAGTTAAAAAATATCGCCATATGCACGAAAAAAAAAGGCAAAATTAATGGGAAAAAAATGAAAAATCCAAACTGTTTACGTCGCTTACGATTCGAACTAGTCATCACTAGTTTGCCGGTTCATTGCCTTAATTAACGAAGGCAAGATAATCAATGACTAGCTTTAAAAACTCCCAATTTGAATCCCAAAAGCACTTGTCAGTTCATGAACAGATTTTCAAGTCCAGGTGTAG